TTCTCAGTTCTGGGGCATTGTCGTTTACGTCCTCTACCTTTATAATGGCAGTACATTTTCCAGAAAGTCCTGCCCCATCAGAGGCCTTAATATTCACCTCATATGATGTAATTTTTTCAAAATCTAGATTTTTAATTAGTTTAATTTCTCCTGTGAGTTCACTAAATACGAAAGTCTTTGTAATATCTTCATCACCAGAAAAAATGAATAGAATACTTGCCATTTACTCCGTGTCTATATCTCCTGCTGAAACAATGACAATAAGGAATCCAAGTGGACTTTTTCTGGCATCTGTACATGATAGAGCAGCTGTGAAAAATCAGGGGCATTGTCATTGATATCCAAGGTCTCAATGAGGACCAAGGCAGTCCCAGTTTTTGGAGGTACACCACCATCTACTGTCGTGTTAGCTTGAGTTCAGGCTGCTGCTCTCTGTCTAGGGCTTTGTTTAGAACCAGCTCCAGGTATTTTCTGCCCTCAGTACCATTCTGGGTAAGAATGTGGAAATGGGAGTTGGGATAGATGCTGTAGTTTTGAATTCCATTGATACCTACACCCAAATCTTGTGCATTTTTTCAGGGGAAACATGTTCCTGGAAGAGTGTTTTCCATGACTTTCAAATGCATTTCTGCTTCTGGAAACACAGGGGAATTGTCATTTATGTCACTGATTGAAAGATTAAAGTTATATATCTCCAAAGCTTCTTCCAGTAACACCTGGAATTTCAATACACAGGGCTCATTGGGACCACACAGCTCTTCCCCATACAATTTCTCATTTACTTTTAAATCTCCAGTCTGAAGGTTTAACTGAAAGTGATTTTTGTTATTTTTTAAAATGACACGAGCCCTTCTCAGAGATAACTCTCTTACTCCTACATCTTTTGACAAATTGGCAACAAAAGAACCACTCTCTGTTTCTTCTGCTATACTACAGCCTTCCTTCTTCCCACAAGTCTGATCTAGCAAAACAAGGAGAAGCAGAACTTGCCTTGGTCTAAGAACGCGTTCCTCTTCAGCTTCCGTTGTCTCATATCACAAGTTCTTAAGGTCTGGGTGCCTCTGTTGTGTCTGTGGACAACTTGTTCTGGAAGTCGACCCTTCCCATGAGGTAAGTCCTTCAAGAATCCTCTTGGAATGATCTCTGATTGCCAGAATTGTACCCCTCCGCAAGTCTGTTTTTCACAGCCTTAGCTTACAGCGCCACCATGTGTTGTACATAAGCCTAACTTACTGAATAAAATGCTGTATAATGTAGCACTGTCCTCCGGTTGTTCATCGATTTGTTCAAGTGGGCCCAGTAATGTCTCCATTGTGAGATTTGTTGTTACTGTATTTGGCATATCAAATACATCACGGGTAGCTTTCCAGGCTTTGCTGCGAAGGCGAGATACTCTCGGTAGCTTGCCGGGCTCTCTGAGAAGGGCGGAGGAATCGAACCTGGCCAGGCCAGCCGGCCGCGTGCAAGGCAAACACCCTACCGCTGTGCTGTATAGCTCAGTGGCAGAGCATTTGACTGCTGCATAATATATGCACTAGAAAATAACCATCTACGAGTATATAGAGTCATTTATTTTTAAAGAGAAAGAAGAAAATTGTGTTTTCTAGTGAGATTCAAAAATATGGAAATGGTGCTGATATTTGGGAAGTGGTGCAAGAACAAAGTTTTGTTTATTCAATGGACAATAATTTTACATGTTAGACACTGTACTAAATACTGAGAAAAAATACCTTTATGATATCATGCGGGATACAACAATACAAGGTTTAATATGTAGTCTGTGCTCTGCGGGAGAGATTGAGTAGAAAAGATGTGTATGTTTTCAGTTCTATTCCTAAAGAAAGTATCTGTGCCATAACACCCTTTACTCACTGCTAGCACCATAAATGAAGAAAGTCACTCATGTGTTTCAGGAGTGTAAAATTAATAGACTAGCTAGATAGGTTAACTAGATCTAGTTTATTAATCTTACCAGACAGCTAACAGGGGTGAAGATGACTTATTTGTAAATACCATCCAAGGAGAATCTCTATGTACCTCTGTAGAAATATTATATTAACATAACTCCTTATCCAAAAATAATTTGTAGAGAGCAATACTTTTATTATCAATTATACTGATAAAACTAAGATGCATACATGTTGAAGCTGAGAGTTGCTGTAATCTTGAAGAGTAGGATAGTCAAGATCACAAAATGATAAAGGGATGGAGTAAAAGTTAAGTTATAACATAAAGAAAATAAATTATTCTGAAACATTAGACTTGTTTCCAAGGAGGAAAGATACAATTCAATTCACATACAATTCACATTTAATTCATTTTTAGCAAGCACCATATTCTTATGACTATATTGGGATCTTTCAGTCTGGCATGGAACTGAGTTCTTTATTCCTACAGATGGAAAAACAAAACTTTAGCCAAGGGCTGGAGTGATAGCACAGCGGTAGGGCGTTCGCCTTACAAGCGGCCAACATGGCCGACCCGAGTTCGATTCCTCCGCCCCTCTCGGAGAGCCCGGCAAGCTACCGAGAGTATTCGATATGCCAGACACAGTAACAACAAAGTCTCCAATGGAGACGTTACTGGGCCCGCTCGAGCAAATATCTTAATAATAAGATTTTAAAACAGAATTTGTATTTGTATAATGTATTCTGATATTCCAGTGATCTGGCTACCTGGAAAAACATAGCATGGGCCAAGTGTGAAAATTGTGTTGCACATTGATTTAATTATATTCATTCATAAATCATTGACATAGACATTCTATTTCATGATACATTTCTCTAGGCATGAAATATATTTGACTAAGTAAACTTTCAGCATATGAGAATACCTTGCTCAGTTTTAGTTAGATCACAGAAAGATCTTAATTACAGAAGATCTAGACCCTTTATTATGGAATTGAATGTCCAAGAAAATGTTGCCTTAATGTTAATGTAGTTTTAAATATTAATAGATAAAATCTGACATCTCTGAAAGTGAACTAATAATACCATAACCAGTCCTTTCTTCTCATTTTTCATCTTTAAGCTAAGGAGAAAATTTTAAGACTGTATACTTGGCAAGAGTTTAAAATTTTATTTCATGAGGCATTCTAAAAGTAAAGTATTAATCAAATATTACTATTTACATAATAACGACTTAACAGGTCTTTAATTTGGATTATTTGTGAATCCTAAAGGCTTCACAGTATATGGTTGAACAATTATATCCAAATTTAATTCAGTAAATAATAATAAAGAAATAGATAATAAAGATAATGTGATTCTTTTTGGGTCACACCTGGCAATGCACAGGGGTTACTCCTGGCTTTGCACTCAGGATTACTCCTGGTGGTGCTCAAGGGACCATATGAGATGCTGGGAATCGAACCCGGGTCAGCCGGGTGCAAGGCAAACGCCCTACCCACTGTACTATCACTCAAGCCCCAATAATGTGATTCTTACAAATTGGAAATACACAAGCAATAACAATTTCTGTGTTACTTTAAAAAAGTGATCCTGGGGCAAATAAATTATTGGAGGAAACAGGTTAACAAGATATTTCATAAATCCCTTTGTAAGCTTTTGTTGTTGTTGAAAGATCTCATTATTATATTATGTACAAAAAATCAAAACTTGTAACAAATTCTCTAGTATAAAAGAGATATTGCTAAGCCTTTACATTTTTATTTTTTGATTAAGTTAATAATAGGAATACATAATAAAGGCTTGGGCACCCAAGACTGCATCTGTTTTTCCTGAACTTTTTGATTTTGAGAAAGGTCATCCTTTCTCCCAAATAGGTTGAATAAAAATAAATTTTTATTTGGAGACTGTAGAACTTAAGGAAAATAATAGGTTGGGACTTAAACATTGAAATAAAGAATTGGCATGCCTAGAACCAAGTAGTTTTCTTAGTTTTCTGCCTCTACCAATCCCATACTTCTCACTTCCACTTTTCCTTCCTCCTTCTCTTCTTTCTTTAGTCATAGATGCTATTCTGTGTTGCTGCCTACACTGATATAAAGATATCTACTTTAGTTCATGCTTAAAGTTTATTTCTCAATACAAGAATAATAATTGTAAATATTAATTAAAAATTTTGGGGCTTGCAATTATTCCTGCTTCAATAGTCTATCACCAGATTAATTATATTTACTTGGCCATAAGTAAAGAAAACTCTTAATTATCTTAATAATTCTCTCAGATGGTAATTGAAAATTCTCAGACAAAGTGTGGGCTAGATAGCTATCAGAATCTAAACAATATTAAAATATTCACATAAATCATCTTCTAGAAAAGTTAAAAAGTAATTATAAAGAAAAGCATTTAAATACAAAACATGCTATGAAATAGTTGGCAGAAAAGTAAAGAAGATGGATTATACTTCATAAAAATCTAAATGATAAAACCAGAAAAACAACCTAACCAAATGACAAAATAATAAAAATGTTTTGATTTGTATAACAGAAGGTCCTCTATAAATCAGATATATAAAAACAGATTGAGAGAATCAAGCCCAGTATTTTGAAATATACGCTTGAATCATTGAGTTTACAATTTATTTTATTTTTTGGCTTTGGTCCACAACCAGTGGTACTCAAGTTTTGTTCTTGACTCTCAGCTCAGAGATCATTACTGATAGGGCTGGTGCCAGGATTCAGCCCCTGTAGGCCAATTGCAAGGGAAGTGGCCTGTGGCTCTTCTGTTTACATTTTAAAAGATAAATATTGGTTCCCATAATTTTTCAAACGTTAATATAAAGAACAGAAACTAAGCCAAAGTATTAATATTGTTGAAAGCTAAATAAAATGCAACTATTGAAACTATTTCTGAAAAGCAATAGCATCTCTCAGCACCAAAATTGAATCCTTAATTAAACTCAAAGCCATGCAGAATTGCGTAATTTTCCTTCATTTAAGTGCCCTGGGAAAGCCTTGGGGATAAGAGGTTAAAGAAACTTGATCTCAAGAAGAATATGTGAAGGAAGTATATACCTTCAAAGAGATGTTTCTGTTACTAATTAAATCCAAAACTATTGCGGAGAGTGGGGGTTTCCTCACTATTTTTCCCAGTAACGTGATCCTGGAAATCTGGCAAGATAGGCTTGAGGAACTTGAACTCATTAGTGCCAGCGCCGCCCGCCAGACACACCTCATACTGGTAGCTGTGCGACAGGGTCCCAGCGCCACTGACGTCCAGCAGGTGTCCTGGGAAGTGCGCGTCGGGCAGCGGGTAGGGGCCCCCCGCAGGCGGGCCGGCCCGCCGGCACAGGCGCACCGCCACGAAGACCAGTACGGAGAAGAGGAAGAGCGACGACACGCAGGCCAAAGCCACCACCAGGTAGACAGTGAGGTGGTCACTGTCGGGCGCGTCGGGCGGCGCGTCGGGCAGCGGCAGGAAGGGCTGCGAGAAGCCATCCACCAGCAGCACGTGCAGCGTGATGCTGGCCGACAGTGGCGGCTCCCCATTGTCCTTGACCAGCACCAGCAGCCTGTGCTTGGGCGCGTCGCGCTCGCTGAGCGGCCGCGCAGTGCGCACCTCGCCATTGTGCGCCCACACGCTGAAGAGCCCGGGCTCCGTGGCCTTGAGCAGCTGGAAAGACAGCCAGGCGTTCTGGCCCGAGTCGCTGTCCACCGCCACCACCTTGGTCACCAGGTAGCCCGCCTCTGCCGCCCTGGGCACCAGCTCGCTGCAGGGCGCCGAAGCGTTCTGCAGCGGGTACAGCACGAAGGGCGCGTTGTCATTGCGGTCCAGCACCAGCACGCGCACCCGCGCCTGGCTGCTGAGCGCGGGCGAGCCGCGGTCCCACGCGCCCACGCTGAACTCGAAAGCGCGCACGGCCTCGAAGTCCAGCGAGCGCAGCGCGAACAGCTGCCCGTTGTCGGCGTTGATGGACACCAGCGAGGCGAGCGGCAGCTGTGGGTCTTGGGAAGGCAGCAGCGAGTAGGTCACCTGGGCGTTGCTGCCCGCGTCGGGGTCAGTGGCGCTCACGCTGCCTATGTGCAGTGCGGGGCTGTTGTTCTCGCCCACCAGCAGGGTGTAGGAGGGCTGGCTGAAGGTGGGGGCGTTGTCGTTCACGTCAGACACCAGCACTGTGATGGTGTGCTGTGTTTGCAGCCTGGGGGTGCCCATATCTGTCACCGTGATGGTGATGTTGTACTCTGCCTGGCTCTCTCGGTCCAGCGGGCGCTCTGTCACTACGGTGTAGAAATTCTTGAAGGTAGGCTTCAAGAAAAAGGGGAGATCATCCTGGATGGAACAAATCGTCTTCCCATTGTCTCCAGTATCTTGGTCTCGGATGCTAAAAACAGCGACCACCATTTCAGGAGTAGAATTTTCTGGAATGGGGCTGCTCAGAGATGTCATGAGTATTTCTGGTGAGTTGTCATTGACATCTACAACTCGAACTAAAATTGCTGATTTTCCTGAAAGGCTGCCACCATCAATGGCCTGTATATTTATTGTGTAAGATTGGATTAACTCAAAATCCAGAGATGCTTTTAAGTGGACTTCCCCAGAAACTTGGTGGATTTCAAATGTTTTCCTAATGTCTCTGGAGACATGTGAAAATGAATAAGCTATTTCTCCATTTGTGCCTGTATCTAAATCTGTGGCAGACACCTTCAGGATTAAGGAGTCTATAGGGCTGTTTTCTGGCACGTGAACCTCATAGACTGTCTTTTCAAACTTGGGGGCATTGTCATTGACATCTAGGACCAAAATACGAACCAGTGCAGTTCCAGACCTGGGGGGTGATCCCCCATCAAAAGCTGTTAGTATTAATCTTAGCTCTGGCTCCTTTTCTCTGTCTAGAGATTGTTCTAGTAACAGTTCTGGGTATTTTTGGCCCTCATCACTGTCTTGTATTTTAAGATGGAAATGAGAATTTGAGCTTAATGTGTAATTTTGGACACCATTCTTTCCTGCATCCAAGTCTTGAGCACTATCCATTTGAAATGAGGTCCCTGGAGAAGTACTTTCTGGGATTTTCAGAAGAATGTGCTTTTCTAGGAATGTAGGAGTGTGATCATTTATATCTTTGACCCAAAGCTCAGCCCGAAAAAATTGCAAAGGATTTTCAAATAGCACCTGGAAAGCCAATATACATGGCTCAGTGAGATCACACAGCGCCTCACGGTCCAGTTGCTCATTCAATAGCAAGTTGCCGGTTTGCATATCCAACTGCAGGTAAGTTTTATAATTGTCAAAGATGACCCTGGCTGCCCTCAGAGTCAGATCTTCCACACCCGAACCTATGTCTTTTAACACGTTGCCGATAATGAAGCCCACCTCCGTTTCCTCTGCCACAGAATAGCGCTGGATCTCCGAACATACCAAAGTCCCTCCCAGGAAAACAAAGAAAATCAGCACTTGCCTTATCTGTTGGGAGCGCAGTTCTCCAGGTTTCATGGCTCCTTTGCCAAACATCTTCCTGCAGAAGTATTTCAACTCAGTGAATTGCTGCTCTCATCTATCAGCCTGGAATATTACAATCTATAAATTTGTAATCCTGCCGAGAGGGAGATGTTCAAGATCTTGCTTTCTCTGGAAAGCCTCTTTCCTGGAAATTAGAGCATCTGATGGTACAGAAATTTCCTCCATCTTATCCTGCAGCGCCACCAAGTGTCTCTGCCGATGCTTGTTTGAAATAGACTAAATATTCATTTACCTTGTGAGCTGATGATTTTAAGTAATGTTTTCTCTCATATTTCTATTGAGTTGCAGTATTTGCAATATGAGATTCTATTGTTATTTAGTTCATAACACAATAAACCACAATCTTCTAGAGTTGTGGTGGATATAAAAGTAATATTTAAGGTAGTTTTACCCTCAAGTTATCTCTCTATGAAGACAATTTTTTAAAAAACAGAAGTAAAAAGACTTTTGTATGTAATTGAATTCATGAGTAAATTATTCTCAGGAGGTCTTAGTCTTCTGTGTTAGAAAATACTTTTAGAAAAGACATGAAGGCGGTATGCCATTGAAGCTGAATCTGGCAAATGCAAAGAAATGTGTTAGAAAAGTTGGGTATTTCAGGATTGGCAAGTGGCACATTAATTTAGGGATACTACATAGAAAATGTATCTGGTAGGAATAGAAAGTAAATGCTTAACAATTTAAATAAAGTGAGACATGTTCTGTTTCTGACATTTAAATGAGCAAACTAGACCCCTGGTTAGTAGTGGGATTGAATTTCATTCTCTTGTAGACACAGGTTTTCAAGAGATAAATTCTAAACTTTTATCATTCATCAATTTAAAAAAGTGTTTATTGAGTATGTGCTTCATGCTAAGTATGGTGAGAGCATTAGCCATAGAATGATTAAAAAATTGGCATAGTTCTAGCTTTGAAAGAGAGAGGTAGAAAAGTGATCACATTTGAAATATAGTGAGGACCTATATGATAGAGAAAGTTTGTGCCTCAGAGTGTAGAAGAGGGTCAACTAAATAGATATTGCAAGTACAACAAAAACTGTAATAGGAAAAGTATATTACAAATAGATATATAAAATACAAGTAGGATTAATGTAAACCAAAAATGGAAGTGGTGAAATATTGCAGGGAAACTAATGGCTTATTCAAATCCCAAATGAGACAAATGTTTTTTGTCTGAAGATTTGAAATAGGTAATTAAGTTTAAAACATGTTGAGTTTTTGGTGTATATAAAGCATTTATACAAAAAGTTTATAAATGATTATCCATTAGGTAAATGAAGTTGATGAAAGAGGTTTGGGCTACAGAGAAAAATTCAGTATTTTTCTTCATATAAACTGGGTCAAAACTCTTAGTGCAAGTTGAGTTTTAATCAAAAGGAGGATTCTTGAATTTGATTTCAGATATAATGGAGCTCTAAGGGACTATAATCACCAAAGAGAGGCTATGATCAGAAATGACTGAAGAAGTGAATGTCACTAAAAGTAAGGAAGTCTAGAAACAGATAGAGAAAACTTCTAGACCCAGAAGGAAAATCTGTAAGTTGTGTTTGAGATAAAATTTGTCTTTGACATTCTTTTAATTCTAAGATTTTGACTAACTTAAACAAAAACTGATCTCCAGTTGATTTGATTCTCTTATTTGATGACTCATGCAAATAATGGCAAAAGATATGCTAATTTCTGTCAACATGTTAAAGGTATTTTTTCTTTTTGTTACCACTGAGAAACCATCAACATGGAGCATGACTATCAATTGTGTATTTGAGGCTTAAATATTTTTTAATAAGGCCTTTCTTTTTATTAAAATAATTCTGTTTTTTGCTTTTTGAATTTTTCATTATGTTCTAGGTGAGATTATCTTGTTAACTTAATTTAATTTGGTTTTTGGGCTATATCCAGTGGTGCTCAGGTCTTGCTCCTGTCTCTGGGCTCAGGGTTCACTCCTAGTGGGCTTGGGAGACCATATAATGCAAGGTATTAAAGCCAGGTCAGTCATGTGTAAGGTAAGCTCTGTATCCACTGTACTATTATTATGACCATGATTATCTTTTTTATTTACCCTTTCGTTTTATGATTATTGAAACTGTATGCTAATTTTTAATAAATTCTAGAACTTTTCCTGTGATTTCTTTTAATATTGCTTCTGATTCAATATTTTCATCCTTCTTTAGTTTACATCATACCTTTTTATTCAAGTTTATTATTAGATAATCTCTAAACTTGTCACTTTGTTTTTTTTTCTTTTTTTTTTCTTTTTGGGTCACACCCGGTGATGCACAGGAGTTACTCCTGGCTCTGCACTCAGGAATTACTCCTGGCGGTGCTCGGAGGGACCATATGGGTTGCTGGGAATCGAACATAGGTCGGCCGCGTGCAAGGCAAATGCCCTACCCGCTGTGCTATTGCTCCAGCCCCTAAACTTGTCACTTTGTTAGGACAACATAAGCTGTCAATATGGAGGTTCAAATCCCCACAATTCTAAGTGTTTCCGGGGAAAAGTAGATTTTTTTGGTGCTCATTTCTCTATCTGGGTTTCCTTTGAACATTAACTTGGAAATATGTTATTAGTGTTAGCTACTTGTTTTTATTCTTTTTATTCTATTTCCTCTTATTTTTCTTTCCTCGCTAACTCTTTTAGCTGTATGCTGGATAAATTTATCTGTTGCTTCATTATTTAAATATATTTCATTTTCTAAGTTTTTACTCAGTTAATTTTTTTTTGTTTTTGGCAACACCTGATGGTCCTTAGGGGACCATATGTGGTGCTGAGGAGTAAGACAGGGTTGACCAAATGCAAGTCAAGTAACTCAACCCCTATACTATATCTCTACCCTCAGTTAAAATTTTGATTGATTTTTTTCTGGGAGTCCTCTTTGGGTCTTTATAGTTTCTTGTTTTCCTTTATATTATTTTTATTTAAGTCACACTCAGTGATGCTCAGGGGTTCCTCCTGGCTCTGCACCCAGGAATTACTCCTGGCGGTGCACGGGGGACCATATGGGATACCGGGGATTGAGCCCGGGTTGGCCCTGTGCAAGGCAAGCGCCCTATCTGCTGTGCTATGGCTGGAGCGATAGCACAGCGGGTAGGGCATTTGCCTTCCACGCGACTGACCCAGGTTCGATTCCTCTGTCCCTCTCTGAGAATCTGGCAAGCTACTGAGAATATCCCACCCACACAGCAAAGCCTGGCAAACTCCCCGTAACATATTTGATACGCCAAAAATAGTAACAAGTCTCACAATGGAGACGCTACTGATGCCCGCTTGAGGAAATCAATGAACAATGGGAGGACAGTGCTATTTTTATTTAAGATAAAGTGGTTAGCATACTATAGTGTCTGAAATACTTGTAGATTTATTTCTATTGTTTTTTTCCTGCTGTTCTCATGCATGGTGTTAATGCTTTCTTGTGTGTATATGTAGTGTTTATTCAAAAACCTAAAATTTATTTATAGGAATATTTTGAGGATTAGAATAAAGAAAACTCTTATTAAAGACATAAATTTGATTTTCTAAGGATCTTGACAATAGCCATTTCAAATCAAACTTTTGTTTTATTTTGGTTTTGGTTGTTGGCAGTGCTCCTCATTGAGGGCTTACTCCTCATCCTATGCTCATAGATCATTCCTGGTGGTACTCAGGGGATCATATTGGGTGCCAGAGATTGAACTTGGGTCAGGCATGTGTAAGGCAAGCACCTACCTGCTGTACTATTATCACTCCAGCCCCTCTAAATAAAATTTAACGTTAAAAATCACATTCAGGGTCTGGAGCGACAGTGTAGCGGTTAGGGCATTTGCCTTGCAGAGGCAGACCTGGGTTCGATCCCCACATCCCAAATGGCCCCCCAAGCATTGCCAGGAGTGATTCCTGAGTGCAGAGCCAGGAATAACCCCTGAGCATCACTGGTTGTGACCCAAAAAGCAAAAATAAAATCACATTCAAGGTTTAAATTGCACACAAAAAACTCATGCATTCCAGTTATGTTCATCCTGATGAAATAACTCTTAGAAATTCCTTTTTATTATTATATAATCTCTAAACTTGTCACTTTGTTGGGACAACATAAGCTATAAAAATTCCCACAATTCTAAATATTCAGGGGCAAAGTAGATTTTTTGGTGCTAATTTCTCTATCTGGGTTTCCTTTGAACACTGCCTTGTTAGCTAGTTGTTTTCAGTTGAAGTGTTGGTCCATATGATATATACCATCATTGTTAAAAATATAAAATCTTGGATATCATTAATGCTTCAAAATTATAAGTAAACTCAGCTTTCATGGAGAATGACAATTGACCTTCTGAAGAGGCTAAAGAAATGATGTTCATTTTTAAAAATCAACTGTCACTGTCACTGTCACTGTCCTCCCGTTTTCATCGATTTGCTCAAGCGGGCACAGTAACGTCTCCATTTTGAGACTTGGTGCTACTGTGTTTGGCATATCGAATACGTCACAGGTAGCTTTCTGGCTGCGCACAAGGAAACGCCCTACCACTGTGCTATCGTCAAAATAAAATTAACTCATGCTGCAATTAATTTAAACACCTGTTGTAAACGACTTTTTCCATGAACATTGTTATAGCCACCATATCTCTCTGCACCTGAAACTCCCTTAATAATCCTTTTCCTTTTATCTATTTTCACTTTTCTTCCTATATGTATATTTATAGAAAATATTGTATATTATGGCTGGAGCGATAGCACAGCAAGTAGGGGATTTGTCTTGCACATGGCCAACCCAGGTTCGATTCCTCCAACCCGCTTGGAGAGCCCAGCAAGCTACCGAGAATATCTCGCCCGTAGGGCAAAGCCTGGCAAGCTACCCATGACATATTTGATATGCCAAAAAACAGTAACAACAAGTTTCACAGTTTGTTGTGAAACATTTCTGGTGCCTGCTCAAGCAAATCAATGAACAATGGGAGGACAGTGCTACAGTGCTATTGTATATTATACAATACTTTATATAGCAATATAATAATATGTATTATATAAAGCATGCTAAAATGTTTCTCTTCCTTTTAAAACATTAGGGTTTATTTATGTGGTTGCATGCACGCTTAGCTCACTTATTATTGCTGTATGATTCCTCAAAAAATCATTCCACTCCTTATGATTCCTCACAAAATTATTCCATTTTTATTGCTTTATCAA